AGGTCAGGTCACTGGGTGTCAAGGGCATCCCCCTGCCACACAAGATACAAATCCAGGGAGGTGGTGCCACTCCCTGCCGCTGAGGAGTTCGGGGGCTGGGGGCCTGGTCCTGCCCAGGATCTCTCTCAGGGCCAACATCTTTCCCCCAGCCCCTCAGGGGCTCCCCAGTCAGCCTCCCGCACAGACCTGGGCTGGGGGAGCAGGGACCCCTGCTGGACGCGCAGAGCAGGCTCTGGCCCAGGACAGGTCCCTGGTGCAAGGACCGGGAAGAAGCCCACGCTGCTCTATGCAGGTCTTGGAAACACCACCCGACTCCCAGGATCTCTGAATTTCAGCATCCTAAGGAGAGTGGGGTGGGGGGGGGAGTCCTAGGGGAATGGGAAAAGCATCCAAGGGGAAGCTTCTAGAGCTGTGAGGCCACTGGAGGTTAAGAGGTATCCCTGTCACTGGCAGCCCAGGCCCAGAGCAACCCACGCAGATGCTCAGCAGCTACCAGCACGGCTGTGATGCTGCAGAGCCAGGGAAGAGCTGGGGCCCCGGGGCCCAGAGTGCTGCCGCCACAGCCGTGTTCCTCCTCCACTCGAGGATCAGCACACAGGAAGGAATGGCGGCCTCCCCTGGGCTTCCCAAATGCCCCCAGGAGGCACAGCCCACCCAGCGCTGAGGGATAAAAACCAAGACCCCAGTAGGAGGGAGCTTTGCCAGGCAGGCCCCCTTGCTAGCCAGACTCCAAAACAGCCCGGCCCAGCCCTGGAGCCCAGCTGGGCGGCCATCCCGCGGGTCCCATCCCAAGGCTGGGCACCCTGCAAGCCAGTGATGCCACAGCCCAGATCCCCATGGTCATAAACTGGTGGCCCACAGCACCCTTAGGTTGACCCACAGTGCCTTCTAAAAGCCCGTCATTAGTTGCCAATGCTTAACAATAAGAGACCTCACACAAAATACGGATTTCCAGATTCTCTTGAAAAACCGGATGCTCAGGCAGACGGGGCCCGCTTTCTCACCTGGCACAGCCACCAGAGCGGCAAGGCTGTGTTCCTCAGCCCAGCCCCCGAGCCCTGCAGCAGGGATGGTGCCAGTGCAGGGCTAGCCTGGCGGTGCCCCTCCCCCGGCCCAGGAGGCAGGCACTGTCCCCACTTCTGCTCTGCAGAAGTCTAAGAAGTCTAAGGAGTCTAAGAGGGCCTCCAGACTACGGCGGGGCAGAGCGGGCACCCACTGGCAGGAGCCTGGGGCGAGTCCTCTCCCCACCCACAGTGAGCACCTGGACGGACTCAAAAGAACTCAAACCAGGGGCCACCCTGGGGAACTCCTGCCAGGGTCCAGGGGTCCCTGGTGGCCATTTGGGGCATTGGGGGGAAGGTAACACGCAGGACTGGGGATCTGGGGTATCAGCCCAGGAGGACAGGCTGCCCCTGTTGGCGGGGAGGGAGGCAGGTGGCGGGCAGAGCCTCTGGGGAAGACCAGGGGAGTCAGGGAGCACTCCCAGCCAGCCCTGAACAGCTGAAGTTGGCAGGTCCTAAATTAATCAGCTACAATTTCACACAATGTTCGCTCGTTCTCGTTCGGTGGGGCCCGGCAGAGGGCCAGCCAGGTCCCTAGAGCTCACCAGTTACTTCTTAAAGCCCAAGAAGACCCAGGCCTGGGGAAATTGAGGGTGTCTTGGGCTTTGTCAGTACAGCAGGCCTGCCCCCAGGTCAGCAGTGGGCAGGGGTCCCCGGGGCCCAGGCTCCAGCATGTGACGAGGACAAAGGACAAGAATCAGGGAGGAGGCAGTGCTGAGCTGGACCGGAGGGCACCCCATGGCCCGCCCTGTCCTGGCTCAGGCCCCTGGACCAGAGCCACTCCCGCCCCCAGGGTGGGTCAGAACGACACGGTGGGAGAGGTGGGGGGGGGGGGGGGGGGGGGGGGGGGGTGGTCAGGAGGGAGAGGGAACTGGTGACACAGGCTGGGCCCCAGCTGAGGAGAGGCACGGTCTCTCTTCACAGTGGGTCAAGGCTGGAGGCCTGGCAAGGGGACATGGGGGAGGTTATGGGGCTGGGGCAAGCAGAATGGGACTGGTACCTCTTCCCCCAGCCCCCACCCTGCTCCAGACCTCCACCCGCAGAGGGGCCCCAGGGTGTGACATGGTGTTCAAAGGCACCATGAGCCCTAGGCAACAGGGAGGCAGAGAGAGCGGGACAGTCGTGCTCCCCACAGGAGCTGGATGAAGCCGGACCTGTTCCCAGGGCTAGGCAGGGCCAGGCAGTCACCGGCTGATGCGCTGGGCTGTGGGAAGAAAGAGCCCTGAAGGCTGGCAGCTCAGGGCAGGAGTGGGCAGTGAGGGGCTCTTGGAGGTGGGGCTGCCCTAGACCCCGGGCTTCCTCAGAGAAGGGACACTGAAATCAGGGCCCCCGTTTCCTTTCCAGAGAACAAGGAAGGAGACTACAGTCATGAGCAAGGACCCTGGAGCCAGTAAGCCTGGGCACATGCTGCAGCCACCATATGCCTCAGTTTCCTCATCTGTCAAAAGGATGGCAGGGTTATTGCAAGGACTCAGAGAGGCAGCACCACAAGTGAGAGCTAGCTGCATGCCCGAATGGGACCACACACACACCAGGTTCCGGGCTTCTTCACGCTATGCTTGGGGGGACAGGCTCAGAGAGGCTACACAACCAGCCCCAGGGTCACAGAGCTCGCGAGGGAGAGAGCGGAGACCACACCTAAACTCAGCCATTTGTATGGGATTAAGGTGCAAACAACTGTCTGTGGAGCTGCCCAAAACCCCCCTTCAACTTGGGTGGATGGGTGCAGGTGAGTGGTGGATGGGGCAAGGCTAGGGCATGCCCTCATGGGGGAGCCTCAATACTAACGTGGCTCTAATTCCCCAATGATGGGGCTCTCCCACCACCAGGCCAGCAGCCCCTGGGCACTGGGTCCCACGTACCCCTAAAAGGGTGCAGTCCACACACTCATGGTGCAGTGCCCAGCCCAGAGGGATCCAGGGATGGAAGGAGCCAATGTCCAGGAAAGACAGGGCTCTGGGAGGCAGGTGCAGGGGTGGGTAAGGGAAAGAGCAGCAGAGGTTTTCTTATGAATGGGCCTAAGCCCAGCTCCCACTCGACACAATGGGCCTCAGTTTCCCCTCTGTGGGACCAGGGCAGAGAGGAAGGAGAGCAGGACCAATTAGACTCACAGAACTCCCACCCAGACAGCGGCCCTGGGGCAGGGGAGTGAGGCCAGAGCCAGTGAGGCAGCCGGGGAGGCCGGGCCAGACTAACCCGTTCTCCCAACCTTACAGGGTGGCCTGTGGGCACAGACAGTGCCTTAGCCAGCTGCCTGCCAGCCCACCCACCATCAAATGTGCCACTCCCAGCCCCAGGAGCCCAGCCTCCCACTGGGTGACAGGCTCCAGGGCGCCCTGCAGGAGCGTCTCCAAGCAAGCTTCACTCCACAGCCCTGCCTGGGGGGGCGGGAGCAGGGGCGGGGGCTGGGGGTGGTTCTCACTGCAGCCACACTGGCCCTGCCAGAGCACAACCCACCTGACACACACACACCCCCCAGGGGCTCTGCTGCTTCCTCCCCCAGCCCCATGTACCCTCCCTGGGGTGGGAAAAGGGGGTGCATGCTGGGTGGGGGCCCCACCCCTGGGAAGGGAAAGAGCCTATGCCCAGGCTGCAGACAGCACCCTCGACACTAGGGTAAAGAAAGTGGGTCACACCGGAGGACCAGCTCTGAGGGCATGGGGGCTTGCCCAGAGAGCAGCGGGGGCTGAGCTGACCTGCCACCCAGCCTCACTGGCTCGTACGGTGCCTGAACCCCGCAGCACCCCAGGGCACCCCATCCTGGGATGGCCTTCAGTCCACATCTGGGCTCCCACTGCCTCAGGACCACCCCAGCCCAGAGCCCACACATCCGGGTTCATTTCACAGATGGGAAAGCTGAGGTGAGCAGTTGGGCGGGGGGGGGGGGGGGGGGTGTCCCTTCATAAAAATCTCAGACCCAGTGAACAGTGGAACATGATTCCCAGGGCACCCGTTGTAGCGGAGACAGGGAGACCCCCCTCCCGCACAACCCAGCGCAGAAGCCGAGAGCAGGCAAGGCTCTTCTTGGTCCCAGGCCCAGCCCCCACCCACGGGTACACGCTGGGCGGGGAGCTGTGTCAGCACCAGGCCTGGGGACAGCTGTTATTTCATCTACCAGGCCCCGCCCCTAGACTGACTCTGGGGCTCCCAGACGCCCCCACCCTACAGTCACCCCAGAAACTTCCTCCCCAGCAGGCCAGCCCTGTGCTGGTCTGGTCCCACTCACCCAGCAAGTTGGGACTGACCCACAGGCAGCTGCTCTCAGCCCCCCTCCGGGAAGCCCTCCAGCGGCTGCTCCCTGGCGGCCTCGTGCAGCTCAAGGCTTGCTGGTGAGGGAAGGGGATGCAGGCACCACGCAGGCCCTGCCCCACGGCACCCCACCCCTCACCCTGAGGAGCCCTCATTGCTCTGGAGTCACAGTGCTCCCCCTGCACCCACCAGCGGTAGGCAGGGGCAGAGGGGTGCTACCCTTGCCCTGCCCTTGGCCTTGCTGTCTCCGCGCAGGGCGGGGGCCTCCCGCCAGCTCCAGAGTGCTGCCTCAGCAGACACTGGATCCCCTGGAGGGGAGGGGGCCGTGCGGGCGTGCCCTGCCCCCACGCCCCCACGGCCTTCCTAGGAGGTCACTGTGCGCCCTCAGAGAGCAGGGCCAGCATCTCCCCGTCCTGGGGGGCTGCAGGGGGTTGGGGCTTGGCCAGTACCCTCATGTGCCCTGACCCACCCTCAGCCCCTGAAGCCCAGCCAGAGCCTTTACACCTGCCGGACACCAAAGCAGCCCCACAGGAGGGGCATGGAAGAGGAGATACAGGGGAGCTGGGGCCTGCTGAGGACCCTCTCGGTTGCCACGCCTGGCATTGGATCTGGGCTTCCCGGCCCCAGAGCAAGGCTGTCTCACATCCCCAGGGCTCTGCCCGCCCCATCACCCCCATCCCAGGCCCTGACCTTGCGGATGCGGCCACTTCGCGTGCCGGCGAACACCACGGTGCGGCCCCGGTAGTCATAGGCAGCCACAGCGGTCAGACCGTCGTCCTTGTCCACGAAGAGGGGCGTGCCCTCGATCGTGACTGTGCCCCCCAGAGGCTGGTTGAAGTCCTGCCCACAGAAATCGTCGTCGATCTGCAGGGGCTGTGGGAAGGGAGAGGGTGAGACCCCGGCCCCGTGCAGCCAGTCTCAGGGGTCCGGGTGTCTTCTGCCTGAGGGCAGCGGGCAATGCAGCCAAGGCTGGCCAGCGCCCCCACTAACTGGGGTGAGGGGCAGGTATGAAAGAGGCAGGGGCTCATGGAGGGTCCTGAGAGGGGCCAGGCTTGAGCCAGGCCGCACAGATGTGGCAGACCAGGGATTCCTGGACCTATTGGACAAACAGAGAAGCCGAGGCTTGCAAAGCAGCCCGAGGCCTGGTGCACATGCCCAGGGTGGGGCTCATCTCCCACACAGCTGCTGCACACAGGCCCCCTGGCTAACCTGTGGGTGGGAGGGGGAGAGCAAGAAAGGAAGCAGCCTAGAGGAGACCAAGGAGGGAGAGCAGCCACCCTGGGGAGCAGGCCCATGGCACGGGGCAAGGGCCAGCCCCCAGGGGGCTGTGTGGTACAGGGAGGGCTTATTCGAGACAGGGAACAGGGAACACACCCAAAAGGCAAAGGCGGAGGTTGGCTATGAAGTGGTTACTGAAGGGACAGGAAGTGATCAATTCGTGAGGCTCCAGAGAAGATCGAAAGGGCCTGGGGGAGGGCAGGCTCCAGGGGAACAGGGGGACAGCTTGCTCCCCTGAAGCAGGCTCAGGGTCTGAGGTTTGCAGCCTAACGCAGATGGAGTAGGGAACGCTGAGGTGGAGCTGGGCCGAGGGTCCCCAAGTGGTCCCAGGAGCAGAGACCTAGACAGGGCGGCTGTCAGGGGGAGAGGGGAGGGACCCAGCCACAGGCACAGGCCGTGAAGAGCACTGAGTGTGACCTCAGCAGGAGCTGCTCTTCCAGGCCTCAGTTTCTCCAGACGCATAACAGAGGTCAAATGCCTTCCCTGAGATGCCAGGGGAGGATGGACAGCGCGTCAGCCTGGCACATGGGGGCCTCGCTCTGGAGGACGGCCCCGTCCTGATGGGTGCTCCACTCCACCCATGGGCAGACGTGACAGACAAGAGGTGAAAGGACCTTTGCCCTCCCATCCTGCCCTGAAAACAAACCAGTGTCACTCCCAGTATAGAGATAGGACAACTGAAGCCACATGTACCAGGCTTTCCTTGGGCCGCCCAATGAGCCAGAGCAGAGGGCTCCCACCTGGGGAGGTCACCTCCAGGTGCCCCTGAACAATGGATCCTACGGCCTAGGGGAGTGCATAAGATGCTCCCCATTACGCAGCTGGATGCAGGCTGGTCCCTTTGGGGCCTAGAGACAAGAGCCGTGGCTGCTGACCACTAAGCACCCAGAGCCCATGCCTTTAGGCTGCCCCAGAGTCAGGGCTGGTGCCCTCAATGCCACTACCAGGTGAAGCCAGAGGCCCAGAGAGCAAGCGCACACCCCAGAGCAAGGGTGAGCAGGGCCTCTCGACAGAAGACTAAGTGGGAAGACGGGTCTGGGACCCACACCACCCCAGTCTAGACCCAGCCAGCTCTGCCTCTTACTGGCACTGTGGCCCTGGTCACTGAGCCTCAGTGACCTCACCTGTAAAAGGGAGACAAGCCAGGGCAGCAGGCATCTGGGGCAGTGCGAAGCACATGGTCAGTCCTCTGCCCACTGCCTAAAGGGGCTCTTGGACTGGTGGACACGGTCCCATCGCCCTGTCTTCAAGGAAGCAAGATGGCGGCAGGCACAAGCTGGGAGGCTGACGCCCCAGGAGCAGCCCCGACCCTCTGAGGGACGCGGGGCCAACGGCGGCCCTGCACAGGCGCCACGGATGGGGACGGCGCCTACTCACCGAGTTGATGCAGCCCAGCTCCTTGTTGAGCAGCCAGGGCAGCGACAGCTTGCCCTCGCCACGGTAACAGGACTGGATGCGCTCCTTGATCTTCTCCTTGATGGCCCTGAGCGTGAACAGGCACAGCACGGACTCCTTGGGTGGCTTCACGCGGTTCTTCTGGCCCTGCGCGAACACGGTGAACAGCACGTCCTCGTCCTCGGCCAGGCCCAGCTGGCGGGCCAGGGCGCGGCCGGGCCGGCTCAGGTAGGCGTCCTGCACCAGGCGGTACTCCACGCCCGCCTGCTCGCAGCCAATGGGGAACTCGACGTACGAGTAGAACTTGGGGTCATCCACGCACAGGCGCACGATCTTGGAGGTGAAGAAGTGCTCGCCGGCGGCGTCGGGCGAGGTCAGCTGCGTGTCCAGCTGCAGGGTGAGGTAGTAGACGAACTGCTCGCTGCGGAAGCTGTACACGTAGTAGATGTCGAAGGCCGGGAACTTGGACAGCGTGTCCGAGGGGATCTTGAGCTGCGACGACACGAACTCGTCCTGGTACACGAAGCCGAACATGTCGGCGTCCTCCTCATTGGCCATGAGCCGGCGGCTGGACAGCGTGGGGAAGTACTCGGACTTGCCGTCGATGGGCGTGCCCACGAAGAGCTTGGCCTGGCCCTGGCCCGGCGGCCCGGCGATCAGCACGCCGGCCATGCTGCCCGCCTCCCGCACGCTGGACAGGTAGTGCTCCTTGCGGTGGTGGGGCTCGCCCAGCTTGAAGAGGTCGTCCAGCCGCAGGAACTGGCAGATGCCCTGGGAGGCGCTGCCGCAGGCCAGCAGACGGTTGGCGGCGTAGTCCAGGAGCAGCAGCTTGTTGACGTTGTCGGTGCTGCCCAGGCCGTGTGGGCACGACTGCACGCTGGGGGGCGGGTAGCACTTCTCGTTGTCCTCCACAGGCCCCGTCACGTGGGCCCGCAGCAGCGTCAGGTTCCCCGAGAGCTTGTAGATGCGGTTCACCGCGCCCACGTACACCTCGCCGGTCTGCTCGTGGACCACCAGGTGGGTAAGGCCCCAGTCGCTGGCCGAGAAGGTGCGGAAGGCGGGCTGCGGCCCCCCACCAGCCCTGGGTGCCCCCGCTGCCGCCCGTGCGCCCCCCAGCAGCAGCAGCAGTAGCGGGAGGACCCGCAGGCTCAGACGTGGCAGTGACATGGCAGGCCGGGGCCGCGGGCCGAGGCGCTCAGGTCCTGCAGAGGCGGGAATCATGGGGCCGGGAGCCTCAGCCCTGTGAAGGAGAATAAGCGGGAGAGGGTGCGAGTGTGTGGGCACAGCCCGGACGCATGGGAGAGCACATACACACCCAAGTACACATGTGCATCCCATGAGCTGTGTGCGCCCAGCCCACGCGGGGACATCCCATGCTCCACCTCCAGGGGGCATGACTTAACCCACAAGGAGACACCAGAGGTGCAGACAGGGCCCCTCCACAAACTGGGCCCTGCAGGCACGGAGAGGTTCACCAAGGGGTCCCCAAGACCAAGCCCGCGAGCACCACGAGTAGCATGGGACACCCACTGGTGTCCAGACATGTACCATCAATGCCTGGTCCTGCCGTTACCAGGCAGAGGAGAGAAATGGACCCAAGAGCAGGGAAGCAAGCGACGAGGGTCGAGGGTCCAGACTGGGAGCCTGGCTGACACCTCAACCTGGAGGCCATCACCTCCTGACTCGGAGTTTCCCCGTGCCCTAGGGAGCACCCCCTCCTCTTGCCACCAGCTCCAAGCTCCTAGGGTGGGTGACCATCTCTCTGCCTGAGGCTTGGGGGATACGTGCTCCCTAGCAGGCCACAGAGGCTCCCAGTCACAGGCACCACCCCCACGGCAGACAAAGATACTCGGGCCCATCACCACACAGAAGGCAGTTCGCAGAGAGGGAGGGAGGCAGTCTGGGTCACCTTGGCCCTGGAGCCACTTGCTGGCTGACCCTGGCCCAGCCCCTTGCTGGATCTTGAGCCCTGCACTTCAAGAAAGAATCCAGAAGCGCTACACTTCCCACCCACCATCCCCATACCCCAGCCAAGAGGTGCCCCCCATGCTGCCAGCACAGCCCTGCCCCCTCCCAGGCTTCCTCTGCCTGCCTCTCAGCTCCTCCTCCACACCCTCAATCCCAGGAAATAGGAAGCCCTCCCAAGAGGAGGGGGGTGGCTCCCCAAGCCTGCCCCTCAGCAGTGGTCCTATCTCCCCAGTCTGAGAAGCCCCGAGGCTGTCGTCCACCTGCCAGAGGCTCCTCCCTCCCATCAGATCGCGTTCCCAACTTCCTCCACCCCCACACCAGGCTTCAGGCATCCCCACTTACACTTTCCAGGTCACACTCTCTGCTAAGGTCCATCAGCGTCATCCCCAAAGTCTCCCCCAAACTGCCCACCCCTCTCCCACCTGGACAAGCACAGCCCTTGGCCTCACCTGAAACACCCACCAACAGCCCAGGCCCTACACAGTAGCCTGGGCCCCATTTCTGAAGTGCACATGAGATCACCGGCCCCCAAATCCTACCATGGACCCCCGCTTCCTCTACAAAAGTCTCCTCTCCTCCTGGCCTGGCCACTGGTAGGTGGCCCTGACCAGAGTCCCTCCTCTTTCCCAGCCTCAGTTTCCCAAATTAAAATGACAATAGATCCTCTCTCATGGACAAAAGCGGGAAGGCTGGAGCATGCTGGAAAGGCACCATCAGCAGGAGAACCCTCCTGGTGTTAGTTAGGAGGGGCCCTGCCCTGGCTCGTATAGACTGGCAGCCCCATTTTACAGGTGGGGAAGCTGAGGCCCCAAAAAGATAGGTGTCCTCTGCCAAGTCCAGGGCAACGGGCTAGACAAGGCCTGTTGGGCCCGGGGCTCCCACAGCTGCCCCTGTGGCACAGGGCCCCTCTGCTCTCAGCCAGGCCTTTGGACTTGCTGTCCCCTCTACTGGGATGTCCTTCCCTCCCCTGCCCATACACGGGCTCAGGTCTCAGCTGTCTGCCCTGACCTGCCAGCCAAGGGCGGCAGCCTCTTCCTGTCAGCCAGTTACTCCGTTTTAGTTTGCAGCGCAGGGCTCGCTCACGGTCGTTACTTATTGTTCCCCAACTTGCGCTCTTCCCACAGGAATGGCAGTTCCATGAGACGGAGCCTGGCTCCCCGCATGCTCCCAGAGCCGGTGCCAGGGCCCGATGCTTGTGAATGAATGCGTAAATGAACAGGTCCCGGGCAGAGCAAGGCCTGCTCCTTCACCTTGGCCTCAAGTCTCCACATGTTCCTGTGCCGAGTCAACACCCGCACCCACCACTCGGGTGGGGAAACTGAGGTTCAGGGAAGTGAGGAGGTTAAGCCAGGATCCCACAGCAAGAGGACCAGGTCGTGCTGCCTCGAAGGACCCTCGCAGCTTGCTGTCACCTGTCCTTCCTTGAGGATTTTCACTCAGACATCACCCCAAGAACCATATAGCCACCTATGCTGGCAGCCAGGAGAGGAGTCCCCAGCCCCTCCCCCACGCCCGACCCCTGTCCCCAGCACAGGACCCCAAGCAGAACAGGAGTCGGGAGTCAGAGAACAGGCTCCTCACAGTGTCAGCGGGGCCTGGGCTGAAAGCTGAGTGCATGTGAACTCCAAAGAAAACATGAATCACTCACCGTTTATCAGTTCAAAGCAGGCCTGCAATTACCAGGGGCTGGGCTCTCCCCTCCTCCGGGATAATTATACACGTCTTAATGCAATTACGGGCCCTACTTTTTATATTAAACAGGAGAAACCCGGCTGAAGAAGCCACCAGTCAAACTCCAGACTGGCCCTGGGCCCATTTCCACCCCCCACCCCCGCCCCTCCCCAACTGGGGCTGCTAGCAAGGGACTGGCCAGGGTGGGTGGGACTGCCAGCTGGGAAAGGGGGATCCCAAGTCCAGGGCTAGGTCCCTCACATCCACCATCTCACAAGGGCCAGTGAGGACATTTAGGTCACTTCCCTTATCTTAGAGTTAGGGAGTCCAGGGTTTGGACAGACCCAAGGTCACCTGGCAAGACAAGATGAAATCCCACGCTCCCACAGAAACCTAGATGGCCAGCTGACCTGCTGGGGCTTATGTCCCACAGACCTCTGGTCTGCCCAGAAAAAAACGCATTCATTCCAAAGCCAGGTCTGGATACTGGGGAGGACTGTGCTGGGCTGGGGGAGGGGAGCACTGACAGATGCCGGGAGGGCATCTGGGAGGGGAGCAGAACTGGCCACCCTGGTCTGGGGAGGCTGCTCCGGGGGGGCCTCTCCACCTGTTCTAAGAGAACAAGGCACACTGAGAGCTGGTGGGAGGAGGCATCTTGGGTGGCAGAGCAGCAAAGAGTCCAGGCCAGGGACTGGAACCTGCTGGACCATGCAGAGGGGACAGTGAGAATGACTGCAGCTTCCCGGCAGGGGCAGTGGGCTGTGCCGGGGGCCCAGTCTGAACCACCCTGGGAAGGGAGAAGCTGGACTGGTGTTGGGTGTGCCAACTGGGGGTTAGCCAGGGAGACAGAGCTCAGGACAGAGGCAGATGGGAACACAGCACAGTGGGCTCCACTCGTGGACAGGATGGGCTTGGCCGCACAGCAGAGCACGGAGAGAGCAACATCCCCTTTCCCTCTCCAGGGCCCGGCAGCCACCACCACTCCTTCTTACCCTGAGAAACAAAGGCCTTCACAGCCCTCTTCACAGAGGGAGAGCCTAATCTCCATGCCCTCCCACTCTGGATCATTCTGGGACTTGGGCAGGTTGGGGCATGGGGGGATGGGGAAGATACTGCCCTGCCATCCTGCCCAGAGGTACCCCATTAGCAACCAAAGCAGAGAGCTGTACTGTCACCCACCTTCCCCCAACAGAGGCCCTGGGAGGCTGTCCCAAGCTGTCCTGCTCTCCCACCAGACAAGTCCTATGGGATCAGGATCTGGAAGCACTGGAGTCCTGCTTACAAAAAGTGCCCACCACTCAGACCTTCTCTTGGGGTGCCCTCCCCTCCTGGCCAGCTGCTACTGACACAGGGACCTTCCTGGGGGATCAGAACACGCAGGCAACAACCTGGGGGCACAGGAGCCCAGCAAAAGGGCTGCCCACTTCGTCCACAGCATTTCATTTGTCCCCCACCCCCAAACACACACCTCAGCCACACAGAGGCTTGCCAGACCTCCGCCTCTGCTGAAACGCCCTTCCTGGGCCTCCCGGTGCCACCCTCCCAGGCTCATGTGCAGCCTGGCTCTGAAGGGGGATCACTGGTTTTCTCATCTGTCTCCGGCATGGGACTAGGTGCTTCTCAAGGACTGGGCAGAGTCTCGGCTGCCTAGTGCAGCACCTGGTCTCTCCGGCACACCCCAAACCAGCAGGGAGCCGAAGAGACCTAGGGCTTGCTCCCCAAGGGCCAGAAGAGCAAAGACTGAGCCCCACCCCCCTCCCCCCAGACCCGGAGAACCGCCTGGGCATGGAAAGAGGTGGAGCAGAGTAAGCCGCTGATGCCCCGGCGTGGGGGACAGAGGCCCGGTCCACATCCCCCCCAACACACACACCCCTTTCTTTCAAGGGGCGTGGCCCC